GGCGGCGCCCCTCCGGCATGGCGCCGCTGCCGCCCTTGTCTGCGGAGCGGGGCCGGGAAGGCCCTTTCTGCCGCGGATCGGATCGGTGTGGAGAGGCCTGGTGGCGGCTCGGGGACACGCCGGGAGTGGGGGTTTGGCGCCGTGGCAGCTTGGGCACATCGCTCTGCGGAGCGTTTTTCTCTGCCGTCCCTCTCCTACCGCGACGCATACATCTGTGCTTCAGGAATACGTTAATGCAGACGGCTTCCAAATCCCGGCTGCTTCTTGCCCCTCTAATGTTTACAGATTAAAAAAAATAATGCAAAGGGAAGCCTGGCAGGTTGCATTGGTTTATCGAAGTGTAAGCCACCATCCCACTGAAATGATCTTCTGTGGCTGCTTGATATTACTGCCTCTGCAGCTGTAAGTTACGTGTGCTGTAGTACTACTGTGTTGTCTTCCACTAGTCTTACGTGCCTTGCTCTTTTCCATCCTTCAGCATGTAATTTAACTCATGCAGTTAGTCAGGGTTTAAAATTTAGCTGCATGGCCAAGAATTTAAGAGAGGCCCAGGTGAACCTGTGTGCTCTAGCTGGTCCCCTGTAAACAACTGGAAAAAGGAAACACTCATTCTATCATTAATGTAGGTTACAGTACCCGGAATATTGTGGACTTCTTCAGATAAGTAATTTAGATTGAACATCTTACTTCTCATGTTGTTAAAAATCATTGCAAACAAACAGCAAATCTGCCAGTCATTTGCTTACCACCCCCTCAGTGGGCTGTCTCTGTAGTGTTGCATACACCCTGCATACCTTGTACATCTGTAACAATAGTTTTCCTGACCATGTTACAGAAAAAACTCACCAAATGCTTTTGTATTTATGCATATTCGGATTTGCTTTGATTTTGGACAGCATATGCAATAGGTCTTTATGTTACACAATTCTTGCTTTTCTGTGTGCTTGCGTGACCAAAAAGTCACACAAAATCACAGACTGGTTGAGGTCAGAAGGGGCCTCTAGAGATCATCTAGTCCAACCCCCCTGCTCCAGGAGGGTCACCTAGAGCATGGGGCATGGGGTGGCATCCAGGCGGTTTTGGAAGATCTCCAGAGAAGGAGACTCCACAGCCTCTCTGGGCAGCCTGTTCCAGGGCTCTGGCACCCTCACAGGAAAGAAGTTCTTTCTCACATGGAGATGGAACTGCCTGGCTTTCAACTTGTACCCATTACCCCTTGTCCTGTCCTTGTCCTTGGACACCATGGAGAAGAGTTTGGCCCCATACTCTTTACATTCTCCCCTCAGGTATTTGTACATACTGATAAGATATACAGTCTTCACCAGACTAAACAGGCCCAGCTTGCTCAGTCCTTCCTCATATGATAGATGCTCCAGTCCCTTAATCATTTTCGTCACTCTCCACTGGACCCTCTTTAGAAGCTCAATCTCCTTCTTGTCCTGGGGATTCCTGACCCAATACTCTAGGTGTGGCCTCACCAGAGCTGAGCAGAGGGGCAGGATCCCCTCCCTCGACCTGCTGGCAACGCTCCTCCCGGTACAGCCAGGAGCCCATTGGCCTTCTTGGCCACAAGGGCACATTGCTGCCTCATGGTTAACCTAGAATGCTTAAGGTTGGAAGGGACCTCTAGAGGTCATCTAGTCCAACCCCCCCCACACACGGGGTCATTAGAGCACGTGGCACAGGACTGCAGGTTTGGAAGATATCCAAGTGGGTTTTGAAGATCTCCAGAGAAGGAGACTCCACAACCTCTCTGGGCAGCCTGTTCCAGTACTCTGTCACCCTCACTGGTAAGAAATTTTTCCTTAAGTTCCT